CAGGAGCTCAGAGAGGCCTGGGAGAAATGAGGCTGGAGAGGCAGGCATGGGCCAAACCACGAACGCTCATAAAGGGCAGGTAGAATTTTTATGTTGGGAGTTCATGTTGAATGGTTCTGGTCTTGATGCCGAAGGCAAAAACACAGGCAGCCATTGGCAAGACCTTTGCAGGAGGCAAATACACAAGGTCCAATAATGTACATCCTAGGAAAAGATGAGTGTATGTATATTCAGAAGCAAGGGGGTCGGGCTCCATAATCCATCAGTAGTAAGGAATCCCTATGCTTATTCCCTGGGCATCAATTATGGAAGAGAAAACACACACACACACACACACACACACACACACACACCAGGCATCTCAGGCACAGAAACTTTGTTGTGGACGTGGGTCTATGTGCATAATTCTCCAACCCAAGTCTATGTATCCAGGTAAAGGACACGGATTGCCATCCCCGGATTGCCATCCTATTTGCAAATAAGGAACTAAGTCTTACAGTCGTTAAGTGGCTTGCCAAAAGTCATAAAGGGACAGAATGAAGACTAGAAACTACCTTCTAGCCCATGTCACAACACGCTTGCTCTAAATCCGTCGGCCCCAGAAGAAGAGAGTAAACTAAGATTTATTTCCGCAAAAATAATTGCATTCCTATATGCTTAATGAAACAGTTGGATAATATAGTGACTGAGTTCCACCCCTACGTTTGTAACGAAAGATAATAAACAGTGGATGATTTACCCATCCTCAAAGTGATTCGCTTAAAGCAAAGAAGGCCTCAAAATTATCAAAGGGGAAAAAGAGAAGCAGGAAAAATTGGAGAGCTATTGCAGTCACTTGTAATGAGGTAAAGGCGTCCAAATGTCACGTGGGTCGGCGATACTAAATACTCAGCGGTGTCCATTGTAAGACTTGAAAACTTCATGCCGAAATTCATCTGGAAGATAAAGTTGTCACATCTATCAGAGAACGAATGCCTTGGCCGCTCCACAGTGACTGTAGGCAACATGAACATTACAATCACCATCCCGTCCCGGCCCTTCTCAACTGGGCTGATGAGGGAGGGAGAGTGGATTAGCAGTGGTTTGAAAAAGAGAATCTGACAAATACAGGCGTGATGGCCTGTGGAGGAAAAACACAGGTGCTAGACACAGCCTTCTGGAAACTCCCGGCCCTGGGCCCTCCTACTCGCTGCTACTTACCAGTCAGCTCTGACATCCCCAAAACTATGCACCACGACCCCCTACCCCCCGCCACCGTCACCTGCCGGAGCTTCTTAGGACAAGCTCTCCGGTGGCTCTCTGGTCCCCGGTCCCACGCAGCCCAGGCCCATACACATCACTCTGAGATTCTGTCCATCGGGACAGAATTTGGGAGTCCCCCAAATCCAACAAGTCCTCAGCTCACTTCCTCCAGCTGACACATACCAGCAGCTTCACAGCTGCTGTGTCCATTCTCAGCGAAGTCCTAAGGTCCCCTAAAGCAACCAGGGCCCTTTCCAAACCAGGCGTCCTGCCTGGTTCCTGGCTGGCCTTTGGTCCCCAAAAGTGTGAGAACAAGAGAACCTTCAGAACCGAAATGGTTTAGCTGTTCCAGACACAGAGGCGCTCTGTTCCTTGGTCCTGACCCTTCCCACACGGGCACTGGCCCCACTCTGTGTTAACTCCAGAATGAACTGGACGCAGTTGTGAGGCTCAAGGAAATGCAGTTGTGAGGCTCAAGGAAATGCAGCACGGCCCCCAGCCTTCTTTGAAGGAATATAGAATTGATCCGAAGGGTCCTCCTCCCCCTTCCCTGTCCCCCAGGGGAGGCTGCAAGGTGGCTGCTGCTGTGCCCGCATAGGGAGCTGGACGCCCAGCAAAGTCAGGGAGGCCAGGCTGGACGTGGGAGGACCCGGCCTGCATCCCTCTCCATGGCTGTCTTCCCTGAACCCCTGCACCCGCCTCTCTCCATGACGTTTATGAGTTGTTGAGGTGAATGGCTGCTGAGCCCCGGTGGGAGGGGAAGGGGCTGGGAGAGGTGGGCACGAGGCAGAGAAAGAGAAGGCACCACCCTATCGCCGGGATGACGCCGGTCGGCACCACATCCTGGGCACCGGCCTTTGCCCCCCTGCCTTCCTCCCGCCGGGCAGAGGAGCCCCATCTTTCAGATCCCAACCCCTTTTCTCCACCCAGAAAACCCCTTCCAAGTCACAGGCCTTCCCTGACCCTGAGAATCCAGAGAAGGGCGGGTTGTCACCCCCATCCCGCGATGGCTGGGGTTTTGTCTCTCCCTGCATCTGTTGGATGAGTCCCTTCCCCTTCCTTCTCCTCCCCTCCCTTTTCCTCTGCTTTCATGAGATGCTGTGAACCAAAAAAGAATGATGGTGATGCCTGTTCATCACTCTCATTTTCCTTGGCATACATCCACACCCCACCCAGGCCTCCCTGCCCCAAGAAATATTCAGCCTTGGGCATCATGACGTTTCGTGCCAGGGCAGAGCCGGGCCCAACCGCTTCTTCTAGAAGGCTCTGGGTCCTTGCTTTTGACATTCCTTCCTTCTCAATCTTCTTTCAAAACCCATTTATGTGTTTGCGCCAAGGGCACAACGAGAATTTCAGCAACCCGATGGAGGCTGTCATATAATTTCTCTTATTATATCTAAATGTTGCATGCTTCTCTATGTCAAGTTGAAATAAATCTCCCCAGAGACTCCAAAAAGAATCTTCAGTGCCTCACACTGCCCTCCACAAACGTTGACGAGGCACCACGCCTTGTTGTGAGAATTCACGGAGGGGCCTCTGGGGAGACTCAAACGTGCTCCCCACAGCTGTAGACAAACTGGCTTATTCTAAGGAGCGAGGCGGGGGCTGGATTCACATTTTAAGTCTACCCGCTGGCGCTAAAAACCTGAGTGGGGCTTAGTTTAGCAAATCAAACACTTGCTTTCTGAGCACGTGCCATGGACTAAGTACCATTTTTTATTTTGAAAAGTGTGCGGCCTTTAACGTGGGACTACGCATGCACGCGGACAGAGTCAGAATTGTAAACTCACGTAAATATTTTCACCTCCTGAGCAGAAATAACCCGGCGGGGGTGGAGGGGGGGGGCAGAGGGGGGTAGAGTGGGCGCTCCTCTCAATCTGTTGGAGTGTTTTCATCCCATGGTTTGGTAGTGCTCCCCTTTGCCTGAAGCGGGATGGGAAGGAAGAGAAAGGGCACAATCCTGAAGTGTTTGAAGCCCGTGAACAAAGGCTCAGCCACCTCTCCCGGAGCCGACAGGGGAAGGTAGACGTAGAATGAAGTGACCTGGAAGGACGTACTCCTGGATGAGTCCCAACTCTGCAGGGACGCACGCCGGCCCCACCTCCTCTGTTCATGAGCTGCTCTTTCCAAGGCAAAATATCTTGGGGGTGGGTTCTTTTGTGTCTTTTCCGATAAACTTGACTTTGATTGTGCGTTGGTCCTCTTATCAACCCCGGGCTTCGGTGGGCCAATGCTGGATATATCACCTCCAGCATCTCGTCATAAAACACTCAATAGCTAGAGCTTTCCTCCTGCCCCCTTGGAGGGAGGGTTCTCTAGAAGTATGTCCAAGCACATGAAGAGGAAGCCCCAGAGCAAGTAGCAGAGGCCGCTACTGGCTGTGAGCAGACAATCCGAGCTCGGCTCGAGGTGTCCCTGCTGAGCCCTGGGGGAGGAAGTCTAGCCTTCGGATTCTTGCTCCCCCAGAGTCAGGCACCTGCGGAGGCCTTTCCCAAAGAGAACCCAGAACCCAGGCTGCTTTCCTCCAAGCACTCCACATACACGTCTCTCAGGATTGTTTTTCTCTCCTGATGGGCTGGACACCACGCCGTGTCTCTTATCACCCTCTGAGTGAAGGAAGGGTGCTGGAAGCCGAGCCACCCAGCCTGAGTGGCAGGGCCCGGGCCGTGGACTGATTGGTGACCGCAGGGCGGCCCGCTGACAGTGAGGCTTCTTGTCCCGCTTTTAGGCAATTTGGCCTTAAAAGTACCTGGGGTATCGTCTGTTGGGGAATTGCGCTGGGCAGGCCCCCTGGGAAAAGAACCATTAGGGAAGAAAATAAGGCTCCGCAAGGAATTGTGCGGCCTTACGTTTAGCCCTTGCCATCCCCTATGGAGACTCCTCTACTTACAGGAAGGAGGGCCTCCCGCATTTGCCAGCAAAGAGGGCCCGTAAAGGAGAGACCTATGGATTTGAAAGCCCCACTCCGGCAACTAAGGAGTGTATCTCTGGGCACAGGTGACTTCAACCCCTAGGCCCACCTGGCCCCCCGGAGGCATTCCAGATGATGACTGAACCTAGTCGGTTAAGCTACAGAATGGTTCATTGGTTCCTAGGTGCATGGTCTGTCTCAGAATGTATGAGGCATGGGTTTCTAAGGCGTTTTCGGCCCCTTTCGGGCACCTCGGACCGAGGCAAACATTGTTCTTCTGGCCTCATGTGGTTAAGAGGTCGTGTCCCTGTAACTGTTCCACTTGAGGTGTTGAGAGATGGAGGGCCTTTCACGAGAACGGCAAAACAAATGCTTTGTAGATTATAGATAAATGCAGGCGCATAATGGAATAATGCAAGAAATTAATCTATAATCAAAGGGTACGCGGGAAAGTTAGGGGAAAACCACCATGTTATTTCTTAAAGGTCGCTCATACATAGGAACATTTTCAAAATTAGGTAATGTTAGAAAAACATCGTTGAGGGGCGCCTGGGTGGCGCAGTCGGTTAAGCGTCCGACTTCAGCCAGGTCACGATCTCGCGGTCCGTGAGTTCGAGCCCCGCGTCGGGCTCTGGGCGGATGGCTCAGAGCCTGGAGCCTGTTTCCGATTCTGCGTCTCCCTGTCTCTCTGCCCCTCGCCCGTTCATGCTCTGTCTCTCTCTGTCCCAAAAATAAATAAACGTTGAAAAAAAAAAAAAAAGAAAAACATCGTTGACAGATGCTACGAGGAAATCACTAGCATATATAATGCCACGTTCACTGCGATAAATCGGCCAGTTCAACGCACTGCCGTTGCCTGTGTCCATTTTTATTGTAGTTTTAGTTTTTTATTTTCCAGTTTTTTATTCTAGTTTTATTTTATTTTCACCGACGCCGTTCTTCCTTTGGGAACCCCTGGGCCTGCTGGAGCTGGACTCCGGCAGAAGGGGATGAGACCAAGGGTGTACGTGGAGAGTTTGAGAAGGAAGGAGCTCGCCAGACTGGCTCTTCCTTTGCACCGTGCGTAGAGATTAGGATGCAAATACTCCAGGCTATACTGGAAGTGGCATTCTTGCCTGAGTCTCTGAGAAAAACAAACAAACAAACAAACATGAAAATCCTAGAAACTGTAGATCCCTTGTCCTGTAATGGAAGTTAGAGACTTTGGCATCTTGATGGTCTCCGGGCTCCCCTTGCACCTAACGCTCAGACTGAGAAGGCTTCCCTGTGGGGACTCAGCGGGCCCCCCTTCCTCCACGCGGGGATTCTCGGAGACACCTCTGGGGGGCAGAACACGGCAACACCGTATGTCAAGGTCCGGGTCTAGTGCTGCCCTTCATAATCACACTTTATGGTTAAAAATGCGCATGCTCTGAGGCAAAAAGCCAGAGCTTCAAAGCCAACACTTGTGGAATTTTGCGAAGCATTTTCCTCCCACCAACATTTACTGCATACTCATTATGGGCCATGTGCAAGGACGGGTAGTGGGTGAAAAAGCAGTCCTGCCCCGGAGGGGTTCACCACCCCCTACTGGGGAGGAAGTGGGAGCGGGGGGGGGGGGGGGCAGGCGGTCTATAGAAAATGGATGCCCCTGGAGGGACTGACCCAAGCCAGGGAGCAATGCCCCACCTTCAAATTAGCAGGTGACAGAGAGAAGGTGCCAGGCTGGAGGAGGTTTTAGGAATGACCATTCCCTTCGTAAGTGTCTCTGAGACATTTGCTATGAGCTACGTAAGGGTGGATCCTCAACTCCATTCTCTTTTGCTTTTCCTAGAGTACAAAACACTGTCCAATCAGCAATTGTCCTTGTGCACCAAAGATTGGACAAAATGAAGCTTGGATGGCATGGGTTTTATTGGAACCAGCTCACTGTAGCCCTGTTACTACCCAACGTTACTGGAACAGAGATAAGGCTGTTATCTGGAAACTTATAAGAAATTTATCCCTGGCTCTGAAAACAGGGTTGAGGAAGTAAAATCATACGAAGGGCAAGACTGGTGTCCTGAGATAGGCGAAGGCTTTCATTGCTTTATTCAGATTGAAAGCTAAGGGGGCCAGCCACACGCGATTCCAAGAGTAGTGATCGTTTCTTCACCACATTCAAGAATGCCTATCAGAGCAGGAATCACGGGCCTGTAGAGTTATAAATGTTTTTGCTGGGTTTTATTATTATTATTATTGTCGTTCAGATCCATCCAATGAAGGCGTTAAGTTGGACTTGGGTGTATTTCAGAATCCAGAAGATAGAACTAGAAAGGTCACGGACCTGTCCCCGCCCCCCACACTGCACACACTCTCTCTCGTGGTCTCCAGCTTTCCACGTCTGCCTAAGGGTTTGCCTCTCTTGTGCCCCATCAGAGCCTCCAAGAAGCTTTAGGATTCTGCCCTCCTCAATGGGGCAGTGATACTGGTTTTGAATCCTTCCCGGGGATGTCTTCCACTCAGAACTTCTTCCCGATTCACTGCCCTCGGGGCCTTGATCATCTTTCCCGGGGTTGTCCCCCTGCGCCCCTCCTCCTCGGTCTGATTTCCTGACGCCCAGGGACCTCGTGTGTCCCCAGGACCAGTTCGGTTTCTCATGTCTGCCCTTCGCCCAGCCTGGGTTCCAGGGGCCTTTCCCCATACACCCTCCTCCACACAAGAGTGCATCATCCCGTAGCGTGGGGCAGCCCCTCAAGACCGGGTCTTATAAACAATGTAAAGCACCTGCTTCTGGAAGCTGACTCCCTACCCATCTCCATTGCCAAACGACCTAAACAGGTCCCTCTTCGCCCAGCCTCCTGGCTCTGCAGCGAGGCTCTGTTCTGGCTGCCCGCTCTGCTTGGCCAAGCCCCCAAGCCAGGCCTCAGCGACAAACTTTGGCAAAGCCTCTGTCCAGCCATCCAGACGGAAGCCCTTCTGACGGCCCCCGCGACAGGAGTCTTGCACGTGTGCCTCATCTTTCTAGACGAAGGGGAAGAAGATGGTCTGAGACACCATCACCCGCTCTTGGCAACAAGTAGTGGTCGGGCCAAACGACCGTTGGCTGGCGATGCTTCCCTGATGAAACCGGGTCTCCAGAGGCAGGCCGGGAGGCCCCAGCAGCCACCAGTCAAAAGCCCCACTGAGGACCCGCAAATCCCTTAGGACCGTAAATGGGCAAAAACTCCAGGGGCGCCGGGCCGGCCTAGCCGGTTGAGCACCTGACTTCGTCTCAGGTCACGATCTCGAGGTCCGTGGGTTCGAGCCCCGCGTCGGGCACTGTGCTGACCGCTCGGAGCCTGGAGCCTGCTTTGGATTCTGTGTCTCCCTCTCTCTCTCTCTCTCTCTCTCTCTGCCCCTCTCCCGCTCATGCCCTGTGTCTGTCACACACAAAAAAATAGCCCACATGGAGCCTGAGGAAGGGTTTTAGTGCAATGATAGAACAGGAAAACAGAAAGCCAGCCAGACCGGCACTTGCAAAAGAGGGATCCCAGTTGAGCAGAAAGGAGACTTATCACAGAACAGAGAACAGAAACCGGAAGAGCTGTCTCAGCGTCTCCATCTCTGTCTCACGCGATGCTTGTAGGTCTTCCCAGGGTCCCTGGGGCCAGAGGAGCCGGCCTGTTTCCACACGGGCCGCCCTGGGGAGGTCCGCAGGCCGCCGCACACAGCCCTGCACCAGGACAGTCTCTGTTTCTCAGATTCTCCAGTGGGAGGCCCTGAGAACCAGCAGTCACCAACAGAATCATTAGCCACCCCCCCCCCCCCCCCCAGGGACTGTCCCAGTCAATCCCTTGGGGACAGGCTGAGCAGGAATGTGGCAGCAAGGGAGGTGGGGGACAGGAGCTCACCTCCGTATGGGGAGGTGAACGTAACGTGAGAAAAGGGGTGGGGAGGCAGGAGAAATCGCCGCCAGGAAACTGGGGAGCCTGATCCCCCAGAAAAGGCGTCAGGGACTCGGCCCAAAGAAAGTTTCACTGGTGTTTGGCCGTCCCAGGCAGCGATAGCAGAGGGAAGAAGAAACAAGTTGACCAGCCGCCCGGGCAGAAACCACGCGAAGACAGGAAGGAAGGGCTGAATTGAGGGGCTGAGATGAGAACTTTCTGGAGAAAGAGGGGATTGAAAGGAAGAGCAGAGGTGCAGGAGGCCGGGCCTTCGGTGGCCCCTCTGTCCCGGAGGGCAAAGCGTCCACCAGAGGAGGGACGCACTTTAGGCTTGAACCTCAGTTCTGGAACTAATTCTAGAGCTCTGCTCTGTGCCTCAGTTTCCTCTTCTGTAAAGCAAAAATGGTCCATATTGCACAAGGATGGTATGTGAGGTCATTTACGTCCCTTGCTTGGCCTACCCTGGGTTCATGGGAAGGGTTCCATAAATGGAGCCTATTAATAGTCCAGAAGCTTCCCCCATGTGAGGAGAAACGATGCCCTCCTCTGGGTGCACATCAGCCGCGCTGATTTTCTCTCAGACCTTAGCATACGCCACCCCGGGCTCTCCCAGCTCCCTATCTAGCTGGACTGGGCAGGAGGGCCCCATCCTGCCTGCCAGGCCGGCCTACCCTCAGCCAGTGCTATAGAGCCAGGTGCCCAGCAGACGCATAGGGCCCTCTGTAACCTGCCCGTCCCTAAAAAGTAATGTAGACGGAGAACTGAGGGGGACTCCTTCTGAGCCCCAGCTTTGTCCAGTCACTGGCCACATGCAAACAAAGGATGATGTCAGTGGGCCTCAGTGTCCTTGTCTATAAAATGGGAGGCTCGGCCTTTGAGTCCTCTGGAGGCCTCTCTTTAGGAAGCTGATTTTATTTTTTAAAGGAGACAGGTTTATCTTCTGGATTGAATACACCAAGAAACATAGGAAAGTTACACTCACAGAAATGTCCTGTTTCAAAGATGTCATTAGATTTCAGGAAGTGGTAAAGTTGACCCCAAGCAGCACCCTCAGGGTTCAGAGTAGCGTCAGAGTTTAAAACAAAACAAAACAAAACAAAACAAAACAAAACAAAAACACACAAAAAACAAAACAAACCAACAAACAAAAACGACTGTAAAAAAGATGTATGCCAAGAAGGAAAAAATTCGGAAGTGAAGCTGCATTTCCTTAGTGAGCCGAATCACAATGTCCTGCTGTCCCCTGTCACATAAACCTCTGCACGAGAGGGTGTCCTTCCAACCTCACGGAGCCTAGGCCAATGCTGCGAATGCGGGCTTTACAGACTTCCAACCGGGCCTTATACCTGCTAGGAGTCCCCCGGCCCACGTGCAGCACAGCCGGACAGAACAACTGTTTGCCCTCCTCGCCTCCCGTCCCCCAGCCGGGCTCGGATCCACCTCACATGTCCTGCTGCTGTGTCCCCACGGGCTGGCATGTCTGCTTCCCCCGCTAGACTGTGAGCTCCTTGAGGGCAGGGACACGGTCTTCCTCTCCTTCCCCAGCGAGCACTCACATTTTCAGACAGCTGACCTCTGTAGATGACTGACAAATATTTGAGACGTGTTTTCATTAGATAACCGGCTTTGAGAAATAGAAACGGAACTCAAACATAGACAGAAGAGACAGTGTTGAGTGGGGGGCACAGCAGGAGTCGATTTAGGGGCACTGAGATCGGTGTGTCAACCAAAAAGTTCCAGCAAAGTGAAAGCATCTGCCCGTACGAGACCAGTACTCCGGGGAGCAGCCGGGAATATGGAGGAACTGATGTGTGGGCTAAACGCCATGGGCACGTAGAAGATAAGCCTGGGAGAGAAGGGTGGCCCGGGCACTGAGGCCATGATTCTGGAGAATTCCCATCTCTTAAAGGACAGGGAGGTTGGCTTCAAAGAGCAGAGAAGCAGAAAGATCATGGAAGAAAAGAGAGGAGGGAGTTTCAAGAAGAAAAGGCTGAAAATTGAGTCAGGGAGACATGTCTCGGTCAAGGGCAGAACCAAGGCCAAGGAAGGGGCAGCACCAGTGGTAAAATTCTGCCCAGCAACTCAAGAGTGAGGGGATAAACTGAGGCATGGCAATAATACCATGAGGAAGAGGGGATGTACCAAAGATTTCTTATAAACAACAACAACAACAAAAGCAACCACAGGAGCCTTAGCAAGCCCTCTGTTTTATTTTTCTTTTTACAGCAAAAATAAGATTTTCTGCACTCTAATAACCAAGTTTTAACCAGGGAGGCAAGGAGTCGAGGTTTCCCAAGACTTCTTCAAACCTCTCGTTGGTCAGCCCCCATCTCACGGGAGAATGTCAAGAGTGAGAAACCCCATTATGGAAAGTCTCCCCAAAAGGACAAATCAGAACCCCAATACCCCCTTGGGCTCCATGTCTGACTGCCCAGGGAGGGCACGGGAAGCGTGAGATCCTCCAGAAGCTGAAATAGAAAACTTGCCTTCCCCACATCACAGGCATAAACTACACGTACAGACCCAAAGGTAGCCTCCTACCTCCTACGCTCTCCAGGATCATCAAGCAAGGCGTGATGGAGGAAATAGTGACAGCCTCAAATAACTGCCCTCCAAAACGTGGCCCTCGGGTGGTCTCTGTAACCCCATGCAAAAGCGCCAAGGTTCTCTTAAGTTTGGACATCTCCCACACCTGAGTTTGGGGACACTGGACCCACCAAACTACTAGCTTGAGTCAGAAACATTAACTCCCTGGGCCTGTGTCTTTGCCCATGAAGCAGGAGGAATTTCTCACTGTTGTGTGTGTGAGTGCTGGAGTCATATGTTCAGAGCGCTTGGGACGGCGGCTGGCACACACACTCAACAATTGCTTATCACTATGATGTCACGCGGGGATGGAGGGCAAGGTGGGCGGGAAAAATGGAAGGGGCTTCTGGGAGGAAGTGGCAATTAAAATTAGCCTTTGAAAATAAAAAAGAGGGGCGCCTGGGTGGCTCAGTCTGTTGAGCTACCGACTTCGGCTCAGGTCATGATCTCCCGGTTTGTGAGTTTGAGCCCCGCGTCGGGCTCTGTACCAACAGCTGAAAGCCAGGAGCCTGCTTCAGATTCTGTGTCTCCCTCTCTCTGCCCCTCCCCCACTCACGGTCTGTCTCTCTCTGTCTCCCTCTCTCTCTCTCTCTCAAAAATAAACAAACATTAAAAAAATCAAAAAAAAATAAAAATAGCCTTTAAAGATACACAGGGCTTTAGAACGTAAACAAAGTGCTGCTTGTCAAGTTTTGTCCATCCATCCATCCATCCATCCATACATCCATCCCTTTGTTCATTCATTCATTCAACAAACATTTTTGGAGTCCCTACAATGTACCAGGTACATGAGGAGCATTAGGAATGCTCACAATGAGTCTTGAATTTCATCTTCATTGTGCAGACATTAACACTGAGGCTCGGGCACTTAGTCCAGGTGATAGTTAAGTGATCATGGTCTTCCAATGAAATATCAGGAAATTAGCCAAATCTCAAGCCAGGTAATTCCTATTTTTCTTTTCCTTCCACATACCGGAAATGCCATAGAGAAATGATCTGTGTCCTGGATCTCCAAAGCCAATGCTCCTTTTTCTTAGTGGAATTTTTTTTTTTTTCCTTTTCTTGTCAGCAGTGCTGGCCTTTTGCTGAGAGTCGGGGGTCCACGTTGTAGAAGTTCTGCTGGAAACAAAACCTCTTGCCTTCCCGTGTATAGTGGCTTTCTAAAGCACTTCGCGAGAGGTTCTTGTGTTGCTCTTTGCTAGAGAACCACTCTTCACTCCCCACAGGGAGCTGATTCTTCGCAGCAGAAGCAAGAGCAGATGAACGTGAAAACGGGGATGACTGGGGGAGGGGGAGGGTAGAGATTTGGGGGTCCTTTTTTCGGCCAGAACCTCACTTTTGCAAACAAAATTCCAAGTACTTACAAAGCGTGACCGATGCGTTCTTTGTTATCCAGTCCCACATGCCCGTTTTTCCAGGTTCCCGCAAAATTCAAGGCCATGCGTTTGCACTGCGTTGCTCCCTCTTCTAACAGAAAGCCAAGCAGGTAGCCTCTCCCAACCCCAACAGCGCCCATAGCTAAAATTCCTGCAAAGAAAAAGGGTAGAAGCTGCTGGAGGTTGTCCCGGATCTTTTGAGCCCAAACCCTGGGGTTTGAAAGGATCCTCAACTGTCTACCTAGCCGTTTGCACACGGAAAATCCCATGTCCTGCTCAGAAAGAAAAGGCCAGGTGTCCCATCTTCCAACTTGATGGAGATCTGGAAGATCCGCAGTGATAACTTTTGTCCACTATGAAGTTATTTTTCCCGGTGGCTGAATCATATGGCCCATCGCTGTGGGTGGCTTGGATTCTCCCTCCAGAATAAAGCCACGCTCACCCTCTGCAGGTATCTGGTGAGAAAGAGAGCTGAGGTAGCAAGTAAATGTCTTTAGAAAACTTTCTAGTGGGCAAAGCACATGAAAAGCAATAATTGAGATACACTTCAAGTCCTTCTTATGGGTCCTAACAATGGCTACTTATTATGGCAGGTGCTGTTCTTGGTGTTTATTACATGTATGGACTCACATAATCTTCAAAACAACCATTAAGAGCCACTGAGCCACTCAGCCTGTGGTCTGTGAACCAGCATCATTAACACCATCTGGGAGCTAATTAAAGATGCAAAATCTCGGGCTCTGCTACAGGCCAAGTACATCAGGATCTGCACTGTAAGAAGCCGATGTGTGTTCATAGTCCAATACGAGAAACTCTCCTCTAATTGCTCCTATTGTCCCCATTTTATAGATAATAAAACCAAGGCACAGAGAGACTAGGTAACATGCACAAAATATGCAAACAGTAAGTGGCAGAGCTGGGATTCAAACCCAAGAAGTCGGGGGTCAGAGCCCGTGCTCCCCACACCGCAAACCACTGACGTTTAATCACAAGCGAACTACCTTCCCAGAGCAGTTTCTCGTTCCCAGCCCCTGCCATGAGCCAGAGAGCCCCCTCCCCTTTGTTACCAGAGTCTATCCAAAATATTGCTCTCATCGTACTTCCCCGGAGAACATGTCCAGTGTTACTGCCCCCCCGCCAAAAACTTGCCAGACCAGGTCTAAATCCTATCTCATACGATAAGACCTCTGACAATATGGCCCCAAAGCAAAGCCTTACCAACTTCATCTTTCAGCTCTTCCTGCCTCCCCACTTCTGTCACCCAAACTCGGGGTACTTTGTATCTTCCCACAGACAGGGTATGAGTATGCCCTCGAGAATTTCCTCCTTCTCCACCTGGCAAAAGCCAGATCCCCCCACAAATCAAGGCCAAGCGTCCTTTCAGCATGGAAGCATTTCCCAGCTGCCTAGGCCAACGATTATTACCTCAGGCCCTCTGTTCTCACCCAGTTCATACCACGCTGGGAAATCTTACATGTGTTGAAGGATGTATATCTTTCCTCCAAACCCAAGGTGTGATGTCCATGTTCAGAGACCATATGTTTTGGGGCCCACTGTGTCCATTGCAGTGCCCTGCCCGTGGCAGTGAGGGCTTCTACTGGGAGTCGGTGCCATGCGTGGGCTGCCTGGCTCTATGGATAAATGGAGGAAAAAGAGCGTCTTACTCAATGAACCCTTCACTTGGTGGAAAAATGTGCCACCTTCCATACTGTGTCTTCACCCTAATGAGCCCTGGAAGAAGTAGCCCAGACTATTCAACGCAGAGCTCACCTTAAAAAGCACCAAGCTGTGGAGCAGAGGTTGGAGAGTGTGGTGTTGCTACCATAGCCCTTCTCTCTGCACCGGATACTGGAAGGAATTCTCTGTGTCTCTTCCGATTGCAATGTTCTGTGAGCCAAAAACGACATTGTGTACGAAGCCGACACCCAGGCTGTTTGGCGTGGTGCAACCAGGCCCTTCGGGCTGGGAGAGGGAATGATTTCAGTTGTTCATAATTTGGGGCCACTGGTTACTCTGGGGCACATTTCCTTTTGCTAAATTTCAATCTCTTATGCCAAATCAACTTACCCTCTGCAATAGGTTTTGGGGAAGTCCGGGCCCTTTCAGAAGCTGTCCTGAACACAAAACCCAATTCCTTGGCCGTATCCACTTGCATGGCAGTATTTGGTTTTTTGTTTGTTTGTTTGTTTGTTTGTTTGTTTGAAAACTCTCAGATGCCAACACTTCCTCCAAAATATTCAAAGAAAAAGCCAAAGAGTAGGCCAAAGGCTGTACAGAAGAGGGAACCTAAACAGCTTCACTATTTTTTTCTTTATCACTAGAGAACATGCCTATGTGGAGAGAAATCTCCATCCTCCATATTGTAACTGGCAGTTTCATTACCCCCTGAATTTTGAAGCCTTTTTAATATTCACATGTGGCCTCAGGAAAAAAAAAAAGTGATCCTAGGGGCGCCCAGGTGGCTCAGTCAGTGAAGTGTCCAACTTCGGCTCAGGCCATGATCTCGCAGTTAGTGAGTTCGAGCCCCACATCGGGCTCTGTGCTGACAGCTCAGAGCCTGGAGCCTGCTTCCGATTCTGTGTCTCCCTCTCTCCCTGCCCCTCCCCTGCTCACACTCTGTCTCTCTCTCTTTCAAAAATAAGCATGAAACATTTTTTTTAAGAAGTGATCCAGAGGATGTACAAGACCCTTGTCTACTTCTCACCTCCTACTGTGTGGAGACTGTAGGAGTGGTCTGTGCATGTCTGCCATGGAACATTCCCTTGCCCAGTGCCACTGCGGGCCCTCCATGCTGTCAGCCGTCATCTTCCCAGCTCTCAACCTCTGTGAAAACAAACTGGACAAGCAACTCCAGGTCTTTAACCGTGCTCCCCCTAGGTACCTGTGGTGCTGCCTCACACCTGCCTATTTGTCACTATTCTAAATCCAACCAGTCCATCAACACCTAGGTGCGTAGCTAGCATGGCGTAGGACATCTGGAGATCTGGGCCGTGAAGGGATACTGCCACCATGCTCTCTTCTAAGCTCTCCCTATCGCCTCCCTCCCTGGTGAAGAACTTTTAAAACTCCGTGGTAATTGACATTTAACATATCTGACCCCGTGTTTCCACCATATTGATGGCAGGAGCCCAATTACACTCCAATTTGTTTCTTCCCACAGTGCCCGGCACCTTAGCAAGTACTCAATAAATATTTGTTGGATTCATTGGATGCATAAAGTTCCCTTCATTTACAGAAATACTCCTCTGTGATTATAGAAAGACATACGTCTACATACTTAATAGTCTTTCCTAAGTGCAAATGGAAATATTGCTGTATTAAAGTGAGGCCAATCCAAAGGGGTAAGAATATTCAGAAGAGGCTGACTCATTAAACGTTTTTCTTTTATTTTAGGAAAGTGCTAGTAGTACCCAGTAAAATGGTGCTTAAGCACCCCCCATGTAGTGGGTAGGGAGCGGTAAGGCAGAAAGCCCAGGTGAGCCAGAATCTCGCTGCACAAAGGCAGCTTTTAACCTCAATCACTACTGCTGACATGGGCAGGGGATGGGAGGGATTTGTAAGGATATTGGAAAATGCCATCGAGGAAAAGGTTTTGATTAGAGTGAACAAATCTTTTCTGGACAACCTTCAGACAGAGGCTTTTTGTCCTTTTTTCTTCCTGAAAAACCATTACAAAGCCTTTCTCAGTACCACAAGAAGCACTACGGTTGAAAGACACCTTCCCGGGGGCATCGAAGTCCCAACTGTGGGAGACTTTAAAAGGCACCTCCGCTGTGAAAATTTGCATCGTCGCCATCAGAAATAGAAACGGCTATGAAAATAAAAATAAAGATCCTGCGTTCTGGGTATCTAAACCCCAGTGCTCCTGATCTCATAAACGGTTGGAAATTCAACTTGAAAAACTGCAGCAGAGATCCCTTGTGGCCTCCCCCCCTTGCAGCGAGAAGCATGCGTAGTGGTTAAGAGCTTGGAGGCAGGCTGCCTGGGCTGGGATCTAGATCCTCGGTGGACGAGCTGCTCTTTTTAGCAAGCAACCTCCTAGCCTCACTAGGTCTCGGTTTCTTCCTCTGTGAAATGAAGATAATACCTGATAAGGTTGCTTTGAGAACGAGATAGGTTAACATTGAGGAACCAGTGAGTTAACACTGTCAAGCGCTTGGAACGTGTTTGGCACGTTGAAGCACCGTTGTTAAACAAAGAACAACGTGCAACACACAAGTGACAAGTGTGAATTGGAGAAGGGTACAAAGCCAAAGATACGGTTTTCATACTGGCTTCTTTCGTGAAGTGTCCAAGTATTTTGCCCACTGTCATTGGACGCTTTGTCTTTTTATTACTGATTTCTAAGGGCTCTTTACATATTCTTTTGTCAGCCCTGTGTATTCGAAACGCATTTAAAGATGCTCAATATCACGAGTCATTACAGAAATGCAAATTAGAACCACAATGACGACACTTGCCCACTAGACTAGCTAACATTAAAAAGACAGGTGCCGCCAAGTGTTGGTGAGGATGACGAGCCATCGGCACGTCTAAGTGCACTGCTGGAGGGAGTATAAAGTGATGGGACCGTTTTGGAAAACACTCTGGCACTTTGTCACAGAATTAAACATCTACCTACCGTATGACTTGGGTATTTGCCCAAGAGAAATGAACACATGGGTTTACACATAGGCTTGTACCAGAATGTTCACAGCTGCTTTGTTCATAATAGCCAAGCACTGGAAACAACCCAAATGTCCATCAGCGGGGGAAACGGATGACATTCCTTGGTACATTGATATAGCGAGATTGATACAATGACCCAGATGAATCTCACGGACAGTATGTTGAGATCAAGATGCCAGACCCAAAAGAGTGCATACTGTGTGCTTTCATTTTTGTAAAGTTCAAGGACAGCAAGACTCATCTGTAGAGCTAGAAATCAGAAAGGTGTTACCTCTGGGAGGGAGGGGGGATTGATTGGAAAGGGCCAGGAAGGAATATTCTATGGCAGCGGTTCTAACCTGGGGGAGGGGAGAGACGGGTAGACGGGTGGGGAGGGGGTGTTGATTTTGCCTCCCAGGGGACATTTAGCAATGTCTGGAGACATTTTGATCTTCGTGCTTCTGACAGTTAGCGCACAGATGCTGTTAAGTACCCCACGATAAA